TGGGAGGCCGTATTCCAAACATTTGACACTGCAGAACGAGGATCTTATCACAAAAAAATGACCGTAAGAAAAAAATAGAATATAATAAAATTAAATCTTACCTGTTTGATTTGCATGAGAAGCGGCATTCCAAACATGTGATACTGCGGTATTAGGATCTTATCACGAAAACAAAAATCATCGTAGAAAAAAAGCGAAAATCAAAAAATCGAATCTAACTTATTGTATTTGCATGAGACGCTGCATTCCAAACATGTGATACTGCGGAATGAGGATCTTATCACGAAAAAAATGATTATAGAAGAAGAAGGAATACAAGAAAATCGAATCTAACCCATTTGATTTGCGTGAGAAGCTGCGTTCCAAACGTGTGATACTGCAGAGCGAGGATCTTATCACGAAAAAACAATAATCGTAGGAAAAAAAAGAAAACTGAATCTAACCTGTTTGATTTGCATGAGAAGCTGCATTCCAAACATGTGCTACGGCAGAGCGAGGATCTTATCACGAGGAAAAATGATCTTAGGAAAAAAAGAAAAAAAGAAAATAAAATCTAACCCATTTGATTTGCATGGGAAGCAGCATTCCACACATGTGATACTGCAGTACGAGGATCTTATCATGAAAAAAAAAATAATCATAGGAAAAGAAAAAGAAAACAAGAAAATAGAATCTAACCCATTTGATTTGCATGGGAAGCAGCATTCCATACATGTGATACTGCGGAACGAGGATCTGAATAAAAGATATGTTTGGTATAAAAGAGTTTTCCCGTTAATTTCTACATCTACTTAATATGTTAACACTACATCTATAAAAATAATATCAATCTATTCTATTCTATTCTATTCTATTATATTATATTCTACAAATGTACAAATTAACAATAGTAGCATTTAGTAAACTACATATGTTTTTCCTGTATAAAAATATCACTAGACACATGTTACTACGGTACGAGCGTGCAAATAAGGATAACAAATACCTGAGAATGGTAAACTAGCTGAAGGCTGTATAGTACATGGATCAATACCAAGTTGACGAAGAATATTTTCAATTGGCACATTATCTAGAAGCAAAAGAAAGCGTATGAATATTTTTGCACTTTGTTTAAATTTATTGAGATTCATATTTTACCTGGTACATTGAAGATTGCTGTTTGTCCAGTCGATTGACCACAAGCTGGTATTGTTGATACACCAGATCCATAGGCAGCTAAACCTGCAGCTGAACTGGGTGTACACACACAGGTTAATGGCGTGCCATAAATTGATGATGGCATGATATTTGGTTGTCCACCTTGCATAATAACAATATTTGGCTGAGATTGACCAAAAACACCACTATTCGGTTGTATTGATGTATATGGATTATAGGAAGTAAGGGATGAAGAACACAACTGAATAAAAGTAAAAAATAAAGTCACATCAAATCAAATTTCATATTTACAGGTGGACAAACTGGTTGACTGCCACCAATTTGACATAAAAGTTGATTGATATCCGTACGACCAGCTACTGTCTGATAAGGAAGTTGTGTGCCAGGTGTCATAACAACTTCACGTTGAACACGAACATGTGGTGAACCATATTGAACAACAATGGGTCTTGTAACTTGTGGGATGGGAGGCGGTACACGTTCATAAAGAATACGTCGTTGTCGCGGCGGCAGTGGAAGCCATCGTTCAATAATAACATCTCGAGGCTTGGGTGGTAATGGTGGATATTGTTCGATGATTACTTGACGTGGTGGTTTTGGTCCGGGTGGAACTAATTTATCAATTACAGTTGTACCTATGACATTGAAAAAATAAGAAACATTGAAAACTCTATTACAACTAAAACATTATTAACCTTCAGGAGGTGGCATTGGTGGTGGACGCTAAATGAACGAATTAAAATGGGAGAGATTGTAGGAGAATAAAATAAAATGCAAACCTCACGAATAGTAACTGGTGGCGGAGTAGGAGGTGGAGGTGGAGCACGTTTAATAACCTAAGGAAGACACAGATTATTATTAAACAATTGTAGATGATATTATCTTACAATAGGTGGATCAGGTGGTGGTAGTGGTGGTTGCTTTTCTCGGACAATAATCGTTCCACCCACAGGTGGTGTCGGCGGTTGTAAATATCTCACAAAGACCTATTATCAAGAATATATTAATACACAAAAAGAAAAAGACAAATTTCGTTTACTCGTTGTTTGTAAACAACATCGTCTTGTGGAGGACGTTGAACAACACGAGTATTTGGATCACGTTTCATATTCTATTGTTGAATAAAAGTTAAATTTTCATTGAAAATTTATTTATAATAAATATTTTACTTCAATATCAGCATCAAGTTGGTGCTGATGCACATCAGGTGAAAGAAATTGTGTAGGAGATGAATGAAAAGGTAAAGGACTTGATTGATGACCATATGATTGAGGTAGTATTGGTGGTGATAATGACCTAGCACCACCATCATAATGTGATGATTGAAGAAAAGGTGGTTGATGAAATGATGAAGATTGATTGAGCGGATTTATTGGAGAACCACTACTATCATAACCCATGTTATGACCAGGTATTGGAGAAGATAATGAATGTGTTTGTCCATATGGATAATTGAATGGTGGTGGAGACGATGAAATATTAGCATTTAGAAGTCGTTCATCAAGTAAATGTGCATGACCAGACTGGCGAAGCCAGTCGATCATTGCAAGATCATGTGATACGTCTTGTAATGGCATCTGGCTACAAAACTATCCTTTATTTGTTACTCATCTGAAAGACTAAAATACAAAATAATTTATCATTTAGTTTTTTTTAAATTACAATCATATCATTAGGATAAAATCTGAGACGATAACAACAACTTTTTTTTGTGAGATTCTTAGAAGCAATAAATTACAACCTCAAACATACTTGTTCATACGTATACATAAAGCATTGCACAAGTTGATCGATTGAAAAGAATGCGAGCAAAACGCCGAGAGAAAAAAGAAACAACGCACTTTTACTTATCTACGTATGTGCACATTCGTCCTTTCATGGTTTTTGACTTTTGTATCTTTCGCATTGTCTCATACTCGTTTTTTCACGTTCGCAAGCCATTCTATGCAATAAACCGCATCATCCATAATGGGTTACCTTGCAAACAAAAGAAAAGAGCACAAAAAAAGACATCAATTTATAATATTAATATCTTTTTTTGTTCTGTCAAGAAAAGCATTAAAGTGACAATATTAATTATGTGTTCATTCGTGTCTTCTTCAATATTCTATCGATAAACATAGAAGGTCCTTCAACTATGCATATATGTATATATATGCACATGATGGGTTTTTCAAGGTTCCATCAGAGATATATTGATGCAACATGCGTTAACGATGCACTGATGCGCATCCAGAGTTGACGCTATAAATCGAAATTTAATGACAAAAAAAGAACGACTGAAAAAGAAAACTGTAAAATACATGTCTTATGTTTAAATAATAGCGTAGATATATGTTCTGTCATATGTATAAGAAAAAAACTAAAATTTTTTTTTAAAAATATAAAAATATAATAAATATAAAAGACAGATTGAAATTTCAACAAAGATTTTATCAGAGTTTTTCTTGTTTATTCTCGTTTATTAATTGTAGTAAAGAACTTGTATTATTTGTGAATCGTTTATAGTTCTAATTAATACTTTTGTATATTAATATATTATATATACATAGATCATCAAAAACTAGTCACTAAGAGGGGTGATTCAGTATTCATATAACAGTTCATCCATAAAGGAAATCCATTTAAACAGCTTGGAGCATAGATTCAGATGTTGGATGTGATCTCACACTGGAATCCAATTCGGTACGTTATCAGCTTTCGACTTTTCAGAATATTTTCACTTTTTCAAACTGCTAATTTGTGTAAAAATATAAAAGAGAAAATCGATTCTATCATGATTGAATAATTTATCATACTTGAGAACACATCACAGATTTGAAAAGCGATATTTTTTTACTAAGAAAACTCATCTACACTTGATGATGAATCATATGATGAACTAACTGAATATATGTAGAGAAAAATGAATTATCGAAAAGTTGAACATGTATTATCGTGATGAGAAAAGTATTCATGTCTATATGAACAATTATAATGTTTGACATCAACGCTATATTCCATTCCAATATCATCAGCGACATACCAACGCATACCTAGCCAAATTGATCCAATTTTAGTATGGAAGAAACTAAATAGTGTAATTTTTTTCACATAAGATAATAGTTTGAAAACTGTACTGTGACTTTGAAATTCAGTTGCGAGAAGGCCTATCTGTACAGGACATTGTTTCGAATTTGTACAGTTTCATCGATTCTTTCACTCCTTGTGGACGTTCAGTGTAAAAAGTGACAAGAAAAAAATGAAGTTTACTGTTAATGGCACTCAAAAATCTGACATAACAGCTCATATAGCATACCCATGAATTATTTCATCATCGTATTCAACTTTATCCGATTCATTGAGTTAATTTCCTACTTAAAAATGCTCATGAAAATATACAATGCTTGAACATTTCGCAGAAAGTTGCGTGAAAAAAAAAGAAAAAACTGCATAGTAAATGTCTGAATCATAGATTTCGGTGTGAAAGAGTCTGAAATAGGCTAGACTCTTCCTCTTGAGTATTTATGTCATGTCTTCAAAAATTTTGAGCCACTATCAAAACATTCTGTTTCAATTTTTAAAACGCGGCTTTTTCCAATCACTTTCAACTAGACGGACTACTTACAACTGTCTATCAAATACGTTGAGTCTTTGACTTCTAAAACTTTTCAAAAACTTCGATTTAGACGTTTAAAAATAGTTGCCTCTTCTCTATTCAGATTTGTCTAGTCTTGATAAACTTTTGCCGCTTTACCTTTTACCTGAACGTTCTTTTTTGGATAACCACAAATACATACATATATTTTCTCGGTGTAACCTAATTGTCAACTAGTCATCCTTCAATTATTTATAAAATCACCTTGGATTTGCTTTATCTATCAATTTGATTTATTATAATGTCAAATAGAATCAATCTTTTCGCTAATATTTTATTTATAGAAATAAATTCAATACTATATGGTTCCTAGATATACTTAGAGTAGACCAATAGGAATGATTTGGGTAGATAAAAGCTCACAAGAAAGAGTTAATCAATTTTTTATTTCAGCAAATATTTAGTTACATATAATCAATTTATTTGAAGGCATTTGTTGAAAATATTTTTTCGGTAGTCTTTGATTAAATAAATTCATCATAGCGATCAGTACCTATCTCCATCAATCAAGTTTTATTGGATATGATTGTCTAAAGAAATACGGTGAACACATGAAATGTCAGTGGATGACTAATTCTCGACACATTTTATATAAATCAGCTGACATTTTTTTGAAATAGAAGAACTATAATCGAACAAAAACCGTTAGCTACAGTTAGAAGCAGTAATTTAGCCTTAAAACAATGTTTTACTTCTTTTTCAAAAAGAAAAGTAGTCAAATATCCTTTAGAAAATTGACATATGAAAACATGGAAGGCCTCTAACCATCAAATACTATATTAATAATTTCCAAAAACCTATTTATTCATAAAATGAAGAGATAACGATGATTGGCGAGCGTTCAAGACATTAACCTGAAACTATATATTCATCAAGATACTTTGACTATCCTGTATCAAAACATATTATAATTATTTAATACTCACTTGATTCTACAGATAAAGTACAATGTCTTTTCCAAGTGCTTCCAATAGTAAGTTTCATTTATCAATTATTTTAACTGTTAGTATTCGAGCGATATTTGAAGTTTTGGCCTGATTGGTCGTCACTTGATTATTATTATTACTATTATGTGTTTTCATCTATCCAAACATAGTATACAGTATATCGATAAAATCTATAGTACAGCAACGACCGACTCATAGGATCTATAATGAGTTCTCTTGCAAATATGCAAGTGACAATGAATATATATTACGATCATTGACAGCATTATTCTCTAATTTTACTGATTGTCAAGAATTTGATCAAAGTTAGTTAACTCTCCCCGACTCCCTCCCATATTAGAAGTTCCAGAGCGTCTGTTGTGTCCAGACAATTCCAGTTTTTTGAACAAAGCTTCACACATGCTATCAAATTAGTCTCGATCAAATGCTGTCTGCATATCAAAGGTATTTCTTGAGACTTCAAATACTTATGATTAAAAATAATCTTGACATTTAAGATTATGATCACTATGTACTTAGTAACCGTCAACATTATCTAGGAATATTTATTTGAGCATTATCGCAGACTGACAAAGTCATTTTTCTGCTGCTCGTAATATCATATTATGGCGTAGAGGTGTAAGTCTTTTGCTTGGTAAGGCCTACACCCAATCCGTATTATTAGTTTCTCTGAAATTTTTAAATACTTGGACCCTTTAGAAGTCTTAGATGATTCTATTGTGACGAGGAGTTTGTTGTACAAAACTAAGATAATAATTGAAATACTTGATGGCATTTACTGTTTCATCAAGATCCGGAATAAGATGTGTTATCTTTTTCGTATATTAAATACTAGCGAGAACCCGTGCATATTGCACGGCAGCTATTTTCTCTTTAACCTAAGACCTCAAACATCTAACCTTTCCCTCGGTAACACACACACTGGACATTATTTATATAGAAGCTCTACCGCGCGATACTCTTATATCGCTAATAGTCCATGTAGCCTTACGGTCTTGTAGCCTTATATTTCTTGTAGCTTTTGTACCTTTATCCGCTTATAGTCTTCCTCCCTTATAGCTTTATTCCGTTATTGTCCTACTTCTTTATAGCTGTACCGCTTTATAGCCTTACCCTTTATAGCATCACCCCCTTATAACTTTATCCCCTTATTGTTTTACTCCCTTATAGCCTTACCCCTCTATAGTCTTACCTCCTTATAGCCTTTTTTGATCTTTAACCTTTGACCCGACAAAGACACAGATAGACAGACAGACACTGGGCATTATATATATAGATTACAAACGATTATGAGTTTAATCAGAATGACTCTTGAGTTTTTATTATATCATTGTATGCTTCTTTGAACAATGCAGGGTTGATTATGACAGATGTAGCAACAAATAAGTCAAATTATTGTTAAACCATACTGATGCATTGTCTGTTTCTCATATTTTGTTATGAAATGTAATACTTGTTCATGATAGTCACAATAATTATAGAGTATTCTTGGATATTTTGTATTCAAATTGTATCGGATACATATTCTATTCGTATAAATATGTTGCGAATGTCAAAATCGGTTTAACACTTGAAATTTTTCGTTGTTTATCCTGTATTATGCCATTGACTCGTGTCTATCTTTCAAATCATCTAAGATAAACGACCTTGAATATTTCCATTGTGGTTTAACCGAATGAAATAACTTTTTCTTTTGATAACAGATGAAAGATTCAAGTTTTTATTCTCATCAGAGAAGTTGACAAGCACTAATCAGAGCCATGCAATTTGACTGAAATTGTAAAATATTACATAATTGACTTAATGTCAATGAGAAAGCATTCCATTTTGAAAACTCTAAATCTCGAAGAAACTACATAAAAAAAATTTCAAATTGTTTACATACGTTATTCTAAGTGAGAGTTTTGCGTGGGTTCAGTTTGACAATCGAATTCTGTAGAAAGAAATTTATTGAAAATATGCAATCCTGTTGAAAGGAACGATAGAGTCAAAAATCTATGAGTTTCCCAATCCGAAATGATTCTTTCAGATTTTCTAGACTTTGGTTTTTTTTACTCTTGAAGAATTTTTCATTGATTTCAGATTATTTTCGATTGAAATTTGGTTTTTGCTTCGTGAACTCTGCGGAAATAAATTCACTAGAAAGGCAATAACTTGGTTAAACCATAGCATCTTCTGCTACTGGGCAAAATATGTACTCGAAAACCTTTCACCATTTGCGACGATGCTTTCTCATAAATGTGTTTCTATATTTTAAAAAAAAATTAATTTTTCTATGGCAGTCAATATTCATAGCTCTGAAAATTTCTTTTCAAGTTCTCTCATAAAAATAAAAACTTAGATCTCTTTTCTATTATCACAATTAAAAAGAATTAATTGATTTGATTAAAATAGATGTGAATATTCAATTTTTTTTTAGTATTTAAATTTTGGGAAATTCCGTATATTTTCAATATTAATATGTTTGCCATGTTTAAAGTCATTATAAATATATCTATGTAATTGCGTCTATTGATTTTTATGTGGTCGTTATATTATATGTTAACCAATGCATTATTTGGATATGGTTTCCTATCTTTTTTCTTCTGAATAGACTTCCTTGGCTTATCTTCTTTTTTGCCTATTGCTATGGATATGTCTTGCTTTCTTTTTCTTTCTGTTTTCGGTAACATCTAGATATTTTGTTTTTCTTGCTTGTTTTTTCTTTGCTCTTATCATTTTTTCTTGAGTCAATACCAAGAGATTTATATATTATTAGAGCGTTGTACTTGTGCCAAAAGCAATAACATCAACTGTGCTTATATTTTCTCGTAAAAATGGATGATAATCGATGTATTGGAATAATCGGCTGTGGAAATATGGGTCTTGCTATTGCTCATCGATTAACTATGTCAGGTTTTACTGTTCTAATGGGAAGTCGAAATCCAGATATTCGACAACATGTCAATTTTGAAATAACTTCAATTACTGATTGTATTATTCGTTCATCTATTATATTTATTGCAACTCATGCTGAACATTATACTAATACTCTTATTTCACCATTAGAACATAATCCAACATTATTTGAAGGAAAAATTTTAATTGATGTATCAAATCAATTAGATAGAAATCCAGATGGCGATGAAGTATCCAATGCTGAACGTCTTCAAATAGCCATACCAAATGCATATGTTGTTAAAGCATTTAATACAATATCATCATTTGTTATGGAAAGTACAACAGCAGGTGAACCTCGAAGTGTTGCTGTTGCTAGTGATCATTCATTTGCAAGAGATAGAGTAATAATGCTTGCTCGAGAAATGAATTTTGATTCATATAATGGTGGTTCACTTCGAACTGCTCGTCATTTAGAAAGTTACACACGTTCTTTATTTCCTCTTTGGAAAAAACCAATAATCCTAGTTTTAACTGTCATATTTATTTGGTTAACGTATACACTTTATTCGAAATTTATAAATACAAATACAACATCATGGAATCAATTATTTTTACATATGACAAATAAAACTTTATGTACAAGCGCTATAACTGTATTAGCTCTTGTTTATATGCCATCAAATTTAGCATGCATATTTCAATTAGCATATAAAACTAAAGAACGACGATTTCCTGCGTGGCTTGATACATGGTTACTTAGCCGAAAACAAATTGGTTTACTCACATTTGCTATTGCATTATTCCATGTTCTTATAACTTTAGTGCTTATGTCGCCTGCTTATTATACAACATGGTTTCATCCTGTTATAATTACATTACCATCTCATACAAACCAAACAAAAATTATTGTTTCAAGTAGTTTAATGACTTGGAAAGGTGAATTAGCATCATTAATGGGTATTTTAACATTACTTTCAATGTCTTTATTAGCATTAGCAAGTATTCCAGCACTTGCTAATTTATTAAATTGGCGAGAATGGAGATTTATTCAATCAAAATTAGGTACATTTACATTATTATGTGCTATTGGACATGTATTTGCTATGGCTACACCTCGTTGGATTGAACTTGGATTTACGAAATCACTTAAATCAGTTGGATTTCTTTGTGTATTTTTTCCTCTTATAACGATTTTGATGAGATTTTTATTTTGTTTACCTTGTTTTAGTCGACCAATTCTTCGAATTCGTCGAGGAGAAAACCCAAAACAAGTAGCCTAAACATTCTGTGTGTGTGTATATGTTTATTCTATAATATCTCTTTACCTTCTCATGTCTATTCTACTGTGTCTTGAAATAAATATGAAAAATATGTCAAAAGGTTATTAACATTAATCTTCAATAATGAGATAAAAGTATCAAGCGAAAGACAGACATATCTGCGTTGTCATTTAGAACAACTTCTAGTTAAGATAAAACCAAATGATAAATGACTAAAAAGATGAATATAAGATATAATTCTATTTTAGAAAAAGCTCTAATATGATTACATACTAAATAAATCGAAGAATTACCAACAATTTATTTTCATTTTCAATGACTACGTTTGATGAATACGTTCATTTTTTTCTATGAAAGAGCATGTTCGCTGCGCTTGTCTTTACATATAGAAGAGTATTAGCGTAGTGTAATCTCTAAAGAAATCTTGATCAAGTTTAGATTTAGTCAACATAGCAAGTTTTTAATAGATTCCTTTCTCTGGAGTTTAATTTTCGAAAACAATTATGAGTGGACATTTGATATCTAACACTTCCTGCATATAAAGGTCACGATTAGAATACCTCATCTCTAAAGTTTCATCCGTCTTCGATATCAAATTGACAAAAATATGAATTTCTCAAAATATCTATATTTCTCTTTAAGTGCTGAGTAAGATAAGAATATATTGCGAAATCCATATGTTGGATATGTGATATCCAAAACTGATGAATACTTATATATGAGATAGTCTAATCGGAACATTCATGCACGCCAAGTTTCAGATTAATGTTCTCATAAAACAATTTTCTGTCAAATATTGAACTTCAATGGAAGAAATATAATGTATCATGCATAAGTTTCCGCACAAATATTGAAATCTGATATGTTTGAACGGAACATGTTGGAAGTCTAATTTTTTCAATCACAGATAGAACAAAGAACGTACTTTAAAACTTATGTTAAGAATAAAAATTAACATTTACTTAAACTTATTAAATTGTGATGTTTTCTACGACCACTAAAAATGGCTTGTTGCCAAGGTAAATATTTTCTTGTTCTAGCTTACATCATGTTAATAAAGAAAAAAAAATATTCAGTTCAAACTTGGAAAGAGAAAGTTGAAGAATCTAGATTTCAAATTTTAATGCGTATTCAAAGTAAGTAGCAATCTGCATTAAAAGCAAAATAAACAGATTTTCACAGTTTTTGATAAATGCTTTAAACGCTTGTAAGAATGCAAACTTTAAAAAATATCTTAAATGTATAGCTTCTTGAATTCTACAAGAATATGTGTGTAACATTAGAAAAACATTATATTGAGTTCATCCATAGTAGAGCAAAAATTGCTTACAAAATCGTACTTGACGCCAATATTTATGTAATTAGATACTGGAATAACTTCAAAGCATAGAATCCATTTGACTTAACCTGTTCTTTTTACAATCATAGTTAATATAGCTATTCAAAATTTATATTCCACTTGAAAGCATTAAAACAAACAGATAGCCAAGATATGAAAGCATATTGTATACTTTACTTTATTGGTGAGTGAAAAAGTTAGGCTTCGAGCATTTTTCAATCGAGCACAGCATGTCTCGATATTTTTGCGGATAGCTTTGCATCGTAGATTACTAAAAGTTCGCTATCTTGATCAAATCTAAACATGAGCAAGAATCTTTTGGAGGTTACACTACTGTAGTAATTTCTTACTTATTAAAGATCAAAATCGAATCGATTCAAGTTGAATGTAATTCTCTTTATTCAACTCAACACTACTCTCTTCATTAACTCTTAAACATGAGCAATAAAATTCACTTCAGTATAGAGAGTTCATGTTCTCTCTGTCTAACCCGTTTGAAAAGTGTACCGATCTCGTTACGGAAAAAGTTTACTAGCTCAATCATTGCTACGACTACATGATCAACAGTACAGTTAAAAATAAATGTAGATTTGATAATTTATTACTCTTCGACATATTCTAATTCGCTAATTGAGATGACTAGTAACTTTGGAAAACTTGTCTAAAAATCAAATATTGAAGTTTTTTATGCAAAGGCTACAGAATTGGTCCAACTAAGACTACGGTATTATGAACTACATGTCAGATTAGGGAATAGAGGCATAGTTCAACTGAAAATAAAAGTCAGTGTACTCCTTTTCCTAATATGTGTATCTTCTTTCAAGGATTTTCTTCTTTGTTTCAGTTTCTATTATATACGAGCAGGATATGGAAGCAAACGAAGTGGGCTACCCAAAAATGTTTCCTTGCGAGAAATGAAAAATTCTAGCGTCAGTGTGTATCATTCTATAGAAAACAAAAAGCCTTCTTAACTTTTCAAACAAGCAAATACGAGGAGCACAAATTCTATTAGGACTTTTTCTTCCCTTAATAAGAATTATATATAGAACAAATATGCAAACGAACAGAATGAACCATTCGAGCATATTTCCTCGTTAGTTATTTTAACATGTGTTGATTAATTACCGAGAATTTTTCTTATATTCATTTGCCTTTTATTTTTGTATGATTTGAGCTTCATATGAAATCGAATGGAATAAACACATTTGTCCTATCAATAAATATTTTATTCGAAAGATGTAGATATATTTCATATTATTTTATAACAAAACTACTCTTCAATTTAAAATGTCAAAAGAAAGATTATTTTATTTATTGAGAAAGTTTTTTTTGAAGAATAATAAAATAAAAACCTCACATTTCCAAGCAAAAAGGTTTATTTTCGGTTATGATTTGTTTATGGACAAAACTACCAATAAGGAGAAAAATCAATAGAATGAATGTCATATCATTGTAGTATTAGTAAGGTTTGGTGATCCTCGTACATTTAGAGGATCATAAAGTAGACCTAAAAACAAAAGAAAGGACAGAATAAAAAATTGTGAAAAAACTCATTAAATTATCATATCTATACCAGCAATTGATGCAGTCATCAATGAGACCATATTACCAGCGATCAATGCACGTGGTGCAATTTTAATTAAAGTACGTTTTCGTGTAGGTGCAAATACACTAAGTGCTGCTAATGCAATACCCATTGAACCAAAATTGGCGAATCCTATCAATAGTTTCATTTAATAAAAATAAAGAAACAAAAAATTAATATAAAAAAAGTTTTACCACATAGAGCATAAGTCATAATAACTAATGAACTTTCCTAAAAACGATAAAAAATCTTCATTTTTGTATTTTATATATGTGTATACATATATGTTAAATACTTACATCCCATAACATTGAAACATCATTTGGTAATGTTAATGTACCATTTAAATACAACGGAAATGTATTATTTTTTATAAGTTCATTACGCAAATTACGAATTTTGCCAAGTTCTTGATAAGCAATAAACTATCGAATAGGAAAATAAATTATTTATATATTTAAAAAAAAATCATATATATATATACATTCTTACTTCATTTATGCTAACTTTAATACCAATTAGTTTTGATCCAAGAAGACAATCACGAAGTGATATACCGGTTATAAGTGCAAATGGATAAAAGAGTAAACCAAGTATATATTGAAAATTAACTTCAGGATGATGCACAAGATTAAACAACCATGATATTGATACATCAAGAAAATTGAGAACACTGATAAATGCTATCAAATTTGCAATTAGATAACCACAAATTTTTAATCCATTTCCAGCGCCAGTCATTAAAGCATCAATTGCATTGTGTTGTTCACTAGTTTAACAAAAAAGAAAAATATGCAAATAATGAATAATGTTAATTAGACTTAGCTTTCAGTTTTGATATTGAAAAGTACCAGAATCTATTTATCTGTATACACGAGCAGATTCTTTAAGGATACCCAATCCCTCATTTGAATTTTTTCTAATTTTTCTTGAGAGTACGATCGGTTGGGCTGAAGTTTTTTTTCTGCAGGTATCTACGACAAAATCTCAGAAACACGATTTCTCGACTTTTAGTTAGAAAAAATACAGGGAAGTACCAGCTGAGAAAATCCTTTTTGAGTTGGTACTTATTGCACTAGAACTTCCAGAAAAAAAATCTCATCTTGATCGACAAAGTCAGACCAGAGTCTTAGGCAGACTTGATGGTTTTGTCAAGACCCTTTAACAACCTTGGAAGACCTAGTTTTAGATTTTTTTTCTTCAATCATAGATCTCATCACTTTCAATAGTCGATTTGTGGCAACAGCTTAACTCGGACTAGTTGTACTCTTCCAGAGGATCATAGGTGGTTCAAAAGTGGCGGCCTCGTTCTCAATTACAATCTAACTTCAACAGAATACACCAGTAATTGATGTTACTTTGCATAGATGTTCAACTCATAGAAATGAATTAATAAAAAATATTTTCATTTAAATTGCAGAGCTCAGACTGTTTTCATTTGAAAGAGAACTTTTTATCACTTGGGATCGAAGGGAAATAGCTTTGATAATTTTTACTTTGTTTGCTTTTTGAATCATCGAAACTTCAAAAGTCTGGAAGTTCTTCGCATGATTTTCTGTTGAACAACGCAGGGTTTCTCTAAGTATTCATGTTTAATTAAAAAAAAATTTTTTCGTCATCTGAAGAATTATGCATAAATTGATCAATAAAAATAAATATGACTCTCTTAGAAAGAAGTATATTGAAAAATACTTTGTTCGCCGTTCAATCATTACCAACAAAAACACAGAAGTTTTGTTCTTTTATGTATTACTACTTAAAATGTCTCTTGTCTTTCCTTACCCAAAACAATTTTGTTTTGATTTGGAGGCTTTCATTTTTAAAGCTGTATTGCAGTATCCTTTATCAAGTGTCATAAGAATCGGAGCTGTTCCAAGCTATGTAAGTCCAGAAAAAATTTAGTTTCTTAGAAACAATGATATTTGTTTTCTTTTATAAATCCACTAAGTTCTATAACCTTATTATAGTGTATCATTCTAGTTTCAATTATATACATGATTTTTTTCATAAAGATAGTCTAATAGCAAGTCCTTGAACAAAACACTACATTGAAACATAGAGATAAACTATCAAAAAATATTTTTTCATAGAAGCAACGCCTAGATCTATCGAAATGTTTTCAAACATATCAGCATTGTTTAATATTATCTTAAATAATGTAATTATGATATAAAAGTAACAAATGATCAGGCAATATAACGAACGCGTGAAAGTGTGTGAGTGTATGAAGAGATATAGTTTCAAAAATCATTCGTAGAATCCCGAACAGCTTTCGAAAATTCAAACTATTTTTATAAATTTGTATAGGTTCCGGATTGTCATCAATTGGAGAATGTTCTATTAACAAAAATACAGCCGTCTAATTAGTACTCCAGACAACTTAGGCAATATGCTCATGTATTTATTGCAAAAATCATTGTTTTTTTGACGAGCATTTTCTCAGATAACAAACCTGCCTAGATCAAGTTTCTCTTAAATGATAAAACAGTGAAGTCAGGTAATTTATTCTAAATTAAAAACATATCGCATCACAAGGTTATTCTGTCTGTCGGCTAGAACAGAAATTTTTGCTGTCTCAATAGGATGAATTCAGCTAGAATATCACCGATTCACACTCAGAGACCTTCGGAAATGGTTAGAAATTAGAAGCAAGTATATGATTCTTGCAACCGATTTATGTCGCACTCAGGTTAGCAAATAAGGCTTATTGTTCTAATTTCTTTCATTTCCTAAAATATATCACAAAAAACTGTTTCCTAAGAATCTATGAAATGTATTTCCATTGTAAAAGTGAATAGATTTAAAAATTAAGAAATACAACAGTTTCTTCCAGTAGACTTTTTATTATATAAAGGCATCGAATTGTAAATAAAACATACCTTAGCGGCACATTTTGTACCGTATCCCATGATGTTTTTGTTTTATGTGTTTCTGGTAATAAAAGTTTTGCAAACCCAAGTGCACCAGGTGCAGCCATAACACTAGCAGCAATTAAATGATTTGCCGGAACACCAAAAAGTATAAATGTAGCAAGAACAGATCCTAACATAATTAAATAAAACTATGAAAAGAAATATTGCATTCTAATTCCAAACCTGCCATTGTTGCAAAACCACCGACTAATACAGCATGAAGCTCAGATGTTGTCATCTTCGGTATTAATGGCATAATTAGCAATGGTGCTTCAGTTATACCAACAAATATATTCGCAGCTGCATTCATTGACTATACAAATATATGTTATATTTTTATTTATGTGTTTATATGCGACATGGTCAGCCTGATCGATTGATCCAATTTCTTTTCCTCTATAGCACAACTCCGATCATATATCATAAATCTATGATTTCTTGTATTAATTACAATACTGATAACATTGTTTCAATTATAAATCTTGCTCGAAGTCAGGATAATCGAACGTTAGAATCAAATGCATTATAATGTTTATCGACTACATGAATTCTGCAGGGAGAAGACTTTGCAACCAGGATGCTAGTGAGTGGATATAGACTTATCGTTTGATATTATTTAGGAGGAAGAAGAAACCCTTCTCTTTGCAATAAAGTGGCTGACTCTTTTTAATCTTTTTATTTAAAAATAGTTAATGTTCCATGAAGTCTTAAAATAAAGTTTTTCTCTTTCACAGAAAATGAATGTTTCTTTTCGAAGAGTTAGAGAAAAAGCTTGTCTATTTTGTACACTTTCTTCACATTTACGCTATCGAAAATCAAAGAAATCTGCTAAACACAGTAGACAGAAGTTTTCTGCGACAAAAGGCTGAGCACAAGTGAAAATTTAGGAGGAGAGAGAGTTCTACTTCTCTACTTTCTGATCATATATCAGCGTGGGTGTGGGTGTGGATCGACTCTTCCTTTCTACCCTCAACCATGCTCAGACTCGCAGTCATCCTCAATTGAATATTTTGCTATTTCAGATAGCAAGTACAAATTACAATAAGTGAGTTCGATAAAATTATATTTTAGCAAAAGATTTTATGAATAGGTCTGATTATTTTGGTTTTGAACAAGATGCATAGTTGAAGCAATAACAAATTATCAGCATTACAACAGTATTATAATTCATAGAAAAATCATATGCTTCTGATATTTTATAGAAGTTGTACGATTAAAAACCAAGAATTAAGGTATCTGACCAGACTGGTCACTCCAATATATATGATGGAGGCAAAATTAGTATTCGACTAGAGATTAATTCATATAGTCGCATGTTTTATTAAAATTAGAGAGCGATGCAACAGAAGAGAAAACTCTAATCATAGGAATCATGTCGATAAGAAGTATAAATACAGGTGTATCTGTTACAATCTAATAAAATCAAATATCTGAGTTGGATTGCACAATCGGTGACACATGCTGTTAGCGTTCGCGGTCACAAGGAGCGACGAACACTGTTAAAATGTGTTTTCTTCTCTCTTTGTTTATTCTTTGAGCAAACAAACGTTTATATACGCACATGAAAAACAAGGACAAAATAGAAAAGAATACAAAAATTAATCAAGGACAAAGAAAAGCAATACAAACGAGCTAACAGAAACGAAAATATCAAAGAAAAGAGAATAGATAGAATCGAGGTGTATGCAGTTAGAATACACTGTAACACATGCAATCGTAAAGATAAGTGCACTACAAAACAATATTCAAGAAAAAAAAATGGGAGCTTTTGCTACACAAAATGTCATTCCAAGCAAGGTAATTTTATAAATTACTTATGAAGATGGAAAAGCTATTGCTGAATAAAAATAGTTAGTCTATTCATGTTTTCTTTATTTCTAGTCGAATCCTAATTGTCAAGCCCAAGCTAGACTTTCAATAGTATTCCTTAACATATATATATGGGGATGATCAGTCTGGCCGGATACCCCATTAATATTTTTTTTATTGTAAGGATAAAACATACTATTGTTCGGGTCATATGAGAGAGGATACCAGATAACCTTGGATTGGCCCGAACAATACCATGTTTTATCCTTACAATAGTAGAGAAAAGCTACC